TTTTTTTTTTTTTTTTTTTTTTTTTTTTTTTTTTTTTTTGGTCTGTAGTACTACCTTGGCCCTAGCCCACTACCCAGTCATAATCCCAGCCAAGTTGACTCAGCATAGGTCAGTCCCAGGTTGGATTAACTGTGCATAGCTACAACTTCCTCTCTTGGTCCCCTTGTCTGGAGGCTACATGTTCTTTGGAAGCACCAGTGAGTGCCATCCCCAGGCCATGTTCTGGTAGAGTATAGAAACTATCTGAATATGGACAAGCCACCTGAATATGTCTGATCCTTGGGTTCCTTCTCTGATTCATGGAAAGATTTCCTGATGGTAAGTGGAACTTTGAAGTGGATGCTCATAAACTATTTAGTAGCCAGTAAGAAGAAGTGCTTGTGAGGTTCTAAAGCCACTTTGCCTTCAAGAACTGGTGGTGGGGCTATGAGTCAACACAGAGGCCTTAAGATCTTCAGTTGTCCTGTGTTTTGACAGTCCGGAGCCATCTCTCTCCTTAAATTCCATGAGTCAACCTTGCACTGTGTGCATACACCAGTTACACCAGCTCTGTGCTTTAGCCACACTCTTCTGTATCTACACTCTGAACTTTGATGGTCCCATCTGATTTTATGGCTTCAGATGTCATCTATACAATGATGACTCCACGTGTTGGCCCTTTCCTCTGAGCTCCAGACTTGTCTGTGTAAATTGCTGCCTACCCAGCATCCCCAGCTGGATGTCTAAAAGCCATCTCAGATTTAAAAGGGCCGAAGATCCACCCCTAACAGCCATGACTACGTGATTTTCTCCATAAAGTCTGGGTAACTATTTCTTAGTCCAAAAACTGTAGTCCACCAAAAATGCTAGATTCCTCATCCCTCTCATCGGATCCATAGTCTTAAGATTTTTCTGTAAAACATGTTCTGAATCTACTTCTTAAATCAAAGTGCTACAACTTTGGTCCAAAACTCTGTCGTATCTTCCCTGGATAGTATACTGAACTCCTAACTGGTATTTTTGTTCTGTTTTGCCCCTCTTCATCCTCCACATAGGAGTTGAAGTGAACTTTCTAAATTTGATGAACTTTGTTTGAAAGCCTTTAGCGGGCATGGGAATCTCATGGAGGACTTGTCAAAACACAGATTTCCTGGTGCCACCTGGGGTTTCTGACTCAGCAGGTCTGCATAGGAGCCTGACAGTTTGCTTCCCTAACAAGCTCCCAGGTGACACTACATTTTGGGAAGCAGTGTTCTATAAAATCTAATCTTAGCATACTTCTCTGATACTATTCCCTTGTTCACTGTATTTCAGCCACACTGGTCTTCCTTTTGTCAATCCTATAGTCCAAAGTTTCCCTTTCTCTAGTCTTTTGGAAATGCTGCTTTTTTTTCCTACTCAGAATATTCTGTAAATAGAGGTTCCTACTCACCATTTTGAGTTAACTAAAATTCCATTTCCTCAAAAAGGATTTTCCTGGCCATTTGCTAAAATAGCAACCCTAGTCACTCTACACTATACTAGTGTTTTTAATCTTATTTGTATCCCTTATTGGCATCTCAAATTTATCTTGAATTAGTTTTATAAATTTATTGTTGGGAGAGCATAGCTTTTTGTACTGAGGATGAGAACTCTTTCCTCTGGATCTTTAACTATGCTTGGCACACAGTATGTGCTCAAAAATCAGTATTAATAGACTGTAGAGTATAAACATTAGAATGGGGAATTGAGTACCACTTTTGAAAGGTGAATTATAGATCTCTCTTTAATGTGTTTAGAATTCCCTTTTTGTAACTTTCACAAGTGAAGCTAGTGCTATGAACTTCAAAGTTTAAGGTTCCTAAGATTTCATATAAATCAACTGTATCCTTCTGAATAGTATTTTAGTGCTGTGGTTTTCATAACTTTTTTTTTTCTTCTCATATTTTCTCTCCCCTTCTTTCCCATAGAAGTAGTGATGGGGCAACATCATCTTGACCCAAACCCATACTTAAATTCATAATAGAGGTATAGTGTGTCTCTTAAATTACTTTACTCTTGTTAAGCAACAGAAATAGATACAAATCAGCATGGCAACTTATTGCTTAAAAAAAGATATAATTTTTAAAAAGGCATTATGAAAATATTATCCTTTGGATAAATTCCTTGGAAGAAAACAAAATATCCTTTACTGACTTTCCAGTCAAGGTTGTTACTATAGCAACCTATAGTTCTCCTTTCTGAGGGCTGGTCACACATAAATTGTTTAATGCCTTTTTCCCCTCTGCTGAACTAGAAACTCCATGAGAATTGGAACTGTGTCTGTAATGCTTACTCCTGGTATCCATATATATATATATATATATATATATATTCTTGATATATAGTAGGTGCACAATAAATATCTGATGAGTTTCTGAATGAATGAAGACACCGAATGTAAGTTCCATGGCTCTGTAATCTGCTTGCCGCCACCTTCCAGGTTTCATGAACCTTCATGGAAGAATGCTTCCTCTGTGTAGAATCCCTCTCCGGCCTTCCCCGTTGGTACCCAGAACTCTGCTTTGTAACTTTTTCATTTCTTTTTGTGGTTTCTCCTTGATGGAATGTTATAAAGATTCTCAAGCCAAGTACAAAAAGCCACACCTCTTTGGTTTCTTGGATAGCTTGACTTCTTCTAGGCAAGTGCTAGTTTTTCCAACTTTTGTGTCTCTTGGTAACTCCCAGGATTCTTTGTATTCCTGTGAGTGAATTCTCTCTCTGCTTCTTAGGAGAGAACAAATAGATTCATTAATACCTGGCTAACTCATTCATTCATTCAATAAGTATTTATCGAGTATCTATCATGTGCTGTATACTTTCAGTGCTAGGGATGCAACAATGAGCAGAAGCAGACATAGTATTTGCCCCCATGGAGTTTATCTTAGATAGAGTGGGAAATAGAGACATTACTTTTTAGTCACCCAACTGGGTAAATAAAGATATAAAGGACAGGGACATTGTTTTATGAAAAAGGCAACAAAGTCATCAGACCTAGGCTAGGGGTCAGGGAAAGTTTCCTGGAAATGATAGGTGAGCTGAATTTTAAAACATGAATAGGAATTCCCTAGATATGGCACCTTGTGAGCACATTTTATGAAGAGGACAAGGAGGCTATGGGGACAGATTATCGGAGTTGGTTGAGATAAAATTTATTTTCCAGAAGAAAACTAATCTGCCACAGTCCTCCTGAGCTACTATAGATGTTTTTATCCTAATACTAATACCAGTTAAGGTCTTTGAGCATGAACTCTGTGTGCCAGGCATAGATTTGTCTTTTACAGGAATTATCTTAATCCTGACAACAGTTCCTGTTTATGGCTTAGGAATCCAGAGAAGTGAGTGTCTTGTCTTTGTCTCATGGAAGACCTTGATACCTGCATTCAGAACCTGTGCCTTTGTTACCTAATCCTGGTTCTCAGTGGGTATTCCTAATATTTCTGGTAGCTCGGGTAACCTGAATTCAAACACAGACACATTTATGGATCTCTCATTATATATGTATTCCCTAGCTATCTACATATGTATACAAAGATGTATATGTGTATGTTTACATGAAATAGTCCATGTGGGTATTTAGGTGTGTGTATACATAATGTATGCACACACATAATTACATATACATATCATTAGTATATTTTGATGTTGAAAATTAGATATAAGGATTTGAAATCAAGCAACTTAATTGTGGAAAATTTGCTGGATGGGATAGATGACTACTAGTAATTAATAAATGGCACTGAGCTCTTTCATATCAAGTTTGGGGGCCTAACCACAGCAGGCGTGTGAATTCATTAGGACAAGTGAGAATCTGCTGTGTCTAGCCTTATCCTCTGCTGCTAAAGCAGCTCATCTCCATTCACAGTAGCTGCTTATAGCTTTAAATAGCATGCCCTGGACTCTCTCTGCCAACTCTTCCCAAGCCAGCCAGGGTTACTGTGAGGCCAGGGTTGCACGGACGACGCGGTCTGTGCGAGGCCAGGGAAGGGGTTAGTGAATTGGCCAGCTGCCTGGGCACTGGTGTAGGGAAGCCATGGCGCAGTGCAGCAATTTCCTGCTTGGGGTGAAGCCCTAGAAGGCTGGTGCTGCCTAATCCTGGATTCTTCTATTCTTTTGTGACAACTCACTGCCCCCCTCCTGTACCCCAAGTTTCTTTTAGGGGAGAATTTGATTTACACTATTCACAGGTACATGGGGATGATTTAGGGTCCTCCACCCTTCACTCCCAGCTCAGAGTCATTTTACTTGGAATTTATACTCTTAGAAAACTGAAATATCATACTTTCCAGGTATGAGTTTCTAGCATAGAGCGATCACATTAGCAACTGAGCATACTTACTCCTGATGGACACTGAAAGACTGGGAGAAAGCACAGATGTGTATGTGTGTGTGGGGGTACTATAAACATTAACTATGTCTCAGGGAGGGCTTGAAGGATCAAGCAATGCCCGGGAAAGTAGACCATCAGGAAGGAGATGAACTTAAGTCTGGTTTTGACCTAGCCCACTTCTCTTTCTTTGGAGGGTGAGGGCAAAAGAAAGTAAGCAAACTTATTCCCAAACTTGCTTAATTTAAGTGTCCCTTCTACTAAGGTGATTGAACTATTCCACACTAAAGTACAGCTGATAACTGGCTTCTTTTCTGATTATCCTAATTGTCTCAGTAGTTTTGCTTTATCTTTCAAGTTCAGGTGTCTCTCTAACAATTGGTGGAGTTTCAGGGAGAAATTTGAGGACGGGGGGTGGGTGGTGGAGCCCTTCTTAGTGGAAGGGACATCTGGTCGCTGCTTACTTCTGGGTCTTTGATCTATGTGGTTATATAGGGCTTGTCTGTCATAGAGTACCCTTCCTAAATGAAGTGGGATCTCTCAAAGGAGAAGCATTTACTCTCACTAAATGGGATGGGGGCCTAGGACTGTCTCTGAACAGGTGCCCTTCCCAGGGTGGCCCACCCTGGAGCTGTGAGCATGCAGACCAGGGGAACATAAAGTCGCGTGTGTCTTCTCAGAGTGGTAGTCAGAGTGCTACTGGTCCCTTGGCTGTCGTAGAGTCATTCCTGCTGTTTTATAGGTGAGGGAAAAGATGCCTGGAGAACTTGGGTGATGAAATCAGCGTCACACGTTTCTGATTAGCAGCAGAGAAAGAGCTGGAATCCAGGTTGCACAATTCCTGTCTCCAGTGTTGTCCCTACCTACCACCTGGTTATGAATCCAGAGCACATCTGAGAGGTCTTAGGGCAGCTTCCCTTTCCTTCCAGTTCTATTTTTTCCCTTCTCCTCAGCCGACTCAAATGCTTGGTTTGGCAATATAAAACTATTGTCCATTTCTGTATTTTATTCAAGCTGGCTGCCCTGTGTCTCGTTCTCATGAAGCATAATACCAGTTATGTACTTCAGAAAATGCATATCACATGAACAAGACACGTTTTGTTTATTAACAATGAAGAGAGCATACTGGTTAAGTGCAGAGACTCTGGAGTTAACAGTATAACTTCACTACTTGCTAGGCATGAAACTACTTTTAAGTCTCATTTTTTCATTAGTAAAATGGTGATAATAAATAATAACATAACTATAATAAAACCTGTTTCGTGGATTATTGTGAGCAGTAAAAAAATCCACGTAAGCACTTAGTACAGTGCCTAGGACATAAGTACTCAGTAAAGTTAATTATTATTACTCTTTTTAAATATGTTCAGTTTTTTTTTTTTAAGTTTATTTGTTTATTTTGACAGAGAGAGATACAGTGAGGCGGTGTGAGCAGGGGAGGAGCAGAGAGAGAGAATCCTAAGCAGGCTCTGCACGGTCAGTGCAGAGCCTGATGCGGGGCCCGATCTCATGAACCGTGAAATCATGACCTGAGCCAAAACCAAGAGTCTGATACTTAACTCACTGAGCCACCCAGCTGCCCCAATATGCTTAGTTTTTAAAGTTTTTTACTCATACATCATTGTCCTTGCCTCAACTTTAAAAATCAGAATGTTGTCAACATGTGCTTATTTAGAAAGAATCTAAGTGTTGTCACAAACAGAATAGCAGATCTGTGACAATTTTGAGGGTCAGGTGTGTATAGATGCCTGCACACTTCCTGCCTGTCCTCCTCCCTCCACATCCTTCTTCACTTTCTTTTTTTGTTGCAGTCTCTCCCTTTCTCTTTCTTTTGAAAAGACTTGAGCATATCATGTATTAGGGTCATGCCAGCTAAATCATTTAAGGAAAGATCTGAGCAAAAAGCATGGGAGGGAAGCTAAAAGGAATCTTTTCAAGTATATGAACTGAACAAGATTAAACACTTGGGAAATAAAGGTTGCTTTAAAGTTATTGGCAGTTGAAGCTTAAAAGGAAATGCATTAGGTTATACTGTTCTAGTTTCCTGATGATAGAAAACAAGATACATTAAATCTTGCAAATTATTATTTTCCAGTTAAGGCTAAATTCAAGTTACAACAATTGTAGGCACTACTTATGTAAATCAAACTTTGATCAATTACCTGTACTTGATAGACAACTCAATATTTGCATTTTGAAGTCACATTTTCATGTTATTGTTGTCTTTTAATATGGTCTTTTTTTAAATGTTTATTTATTTTTGAGAGAGAGAGCATAAGCAGGGAAGGGATAGAGAGAGAGAGGGAGACACAGAATCCGAAGCAGGTTCCAGGTTCTGAGCTGTCAGCACAGAGTCCGATGAGGGGCTTCAACACACAAACCATGTGATCATGACCTGAGCTAAAGTTGGGCACTTAACCGACTGAGCACCACCCCCCCCCCACAGGTGCCCAATACGGTCTTATTATAATTAGGTTATATATTAAAGATATTATTCAGATTATGCATGGAAATAACTTGGTGTCAAAATGAGTCACGTCTGAGTGAGCTCAATATTGATATTTTCACTAATTTTTTGAAATAACAGGGGCAATAAGGATGAGCCATGCAATTATTTTTAAAAAATTAAAAATTTTTCCTTATAAATTATCCATATTTAGTCTTAATTACAATTTAATGTAATGTGCAGAATTGCTTCACATGTTACCTTATACAAAGTAGCCAATAAATTTTCTTGTAGATTTCATTCTAATCTGAGAGTGACATTTGCATACAATTTTATTGTTTGGTTTAATTTGCCTTGGTAATACTGGAAAACAAAATGCTTGTAAAGTTTATAGGACAACATTGTCCTTTTGTAAAATGTTAATTGTGTAAATAGGTAAGAATTCTAGAAACTGTGCTTTTCAGGAAAAAGAGGAGTTATTACTCTGGACCTGCATTACCTTTATAAAGTCGTAAAGAAATTGCTTCGAAATTCACTGGAAGTAGAATTTTTTTTCTTTTGATTCATGTGCCAAATGTAGATTCAATTTACACTCTGCCTGCATTTTTCTTCTTTTCTCTTATTCTCTTATTTCTTCTTCTTTTATTTCTCTTCTCTTATTTTCTCTTTACACTAGACAGGCCGTTACTCTTTGCTGTATGAGAGATTATTGGGTAATAATGCCCAAGAGTCCTATAAAGTTAACAATTAGCTTATTAAATTTCAGGCATTATTCTCTCTTATTCACTTTGATAGAAGAGTCCTATCTGAAAATATAAGATACTATTATTTTCTGTATGGTGGGGTTATGGTTGGGATTTTATATTTTTAAGACTTAAAACAGTTCTGTTAAACAATTGCTAGTGTTGGGAAACTAGCTCACTTTCATATTTGCTCAGCCTTAGATATTTCTAA